AAAAAAATAACTCAAAAATGCTTGCAGTGATAATGATCTACATGTACATGTCCAAGGTACAAGCAAATAGAGCTAATGAAAGAGGCCTGTTATGTATTTGATGGCTGAATGAGTGGGCAAGACAAAGCAAATTACTGTGTGGTGATTAGGTGCTAGGAAGTTTAGCAAGCATGCTAAGAATGATAACCCCATGTACATGTAGCCTACTTTGGATTGTCTGCTGTGTTCCTTAAGAAAAGGCTGCTTGGTTTGGGTTGTAGTGCAGTAGCCATCAGGCTGCTGTTCCTCTCATTTACTTGTACATGCATACAGAGCTCTGCACATAGAACCTTATGTAGAGGCAAAAGCGTACAGCATATCAATCCAGTTTCTTGTTTACAGGTGACGTTGAAGCTAGACCCAGAAACTGAAATAAAAAAGTTTGGTCCGAAACCAGGACCCCTGGATGAGATAGAGGTATGTTTAATTATTATTAAATTAACAGGGCTTTAAACTCATCATCAATAAATGAGCTTGGGCACTGATGCCTTAAAGTTGGTGGAGCTGGGAAATGCTCTAGCACAGGAGGTATCCATGGCAACCCTGCAAGTGACCACCACTGGGCACCGTCCAGCCTGTGAGCAGGCTAGGCACTGCCACTCTGACCTGCCAGTGGAATGCTTACGAACCAATACTTACTGAACCCAAATGAAGAGAGTGAAGGGTGTGCTGGGCGAAAGATAAAGAGCGAACAGCTAGCAAGCATAATTGCAAGCAAAACAGCCTTTGCGAAAGACTGCAAGCAAACAACTGTGAGCAAAGGTCACAAGGAGGCCCTGCTTAAGGCTTGGGACCGCCCCAAGCTGCATCAGATGAAAAACTGTTGACCAGCATTCACTCGAGGTCAACTTTGCCTAAATTGCATTTAGCCCCATAATATCAAGTACTAGTAATGTTTACATACATGAATTACCGTACATGAATTTAGTTGTATAATTTGTTACAAGTCGTATTTTATTGAGGACGTATTGAACCTGCCAACAGAAAGAAAGAAGATGAGAAGTGAAAAACAAGCAATAAAAAAAACCTAGTAGATGTTAGGTTCTCATGCATGAATCAGCAAATGCAACACGTTTTTGTGTTAGTATGGGGATGTTGAAGTGACGAAGGGAGGGTATTAACGGGGACCATAACCTGAGAGCATTGATTTCTTGGATGTAAAAATGTTAACCAAAGGGTGGATAACTTGCTTTTATGTCCATAATGTCAAGTTGGAAACATCAGAATGGTGTGAGTCCACTTTGGGCTGGAAACCTGCATAAAGACCCAATTTGCGGTTCCTATTCATGCTGTCGACCTTGTCTAAAGTTTATTTGGAGGGGGCAGGGGGGGGGGGGGAGAAACGAAAAAGGAATGGTGAACGCCTTCAGGATTATATGGTAGTGTTGAAAGGGGGGAGTGTTTAAAGAGATCAGGGCTTTAAATCAGTAAGGTGTGACCAAAGAGGAATTCCAGTGGGTCAATAATAAATTATTAGACATCGGCAGAGCCTCGCCAAATCACGCGATGTTTTCTTGCTGTTATAATAATGCAGTTGACCAGGCCTTTGACCCTGCAAGCCCTATATCTGGAACAATAAGAAATGGGCAGTGACTGTGGCTTAACTATTGCTTTGCATTTCTTGTTTATTTTTTTCTTCTCATCCATTCCGCAATGTAATTGTTGATTTAGATGTGGTCAGAGAGATTGGAGAAGATCACGTCAGTGAGTGAACAGCTCTGTTCACATGTGGCTCTCAACATCATGATGAATTTGGAAGATGCTCACAGTACATATGCTCAATCTTTTCACCTTGTAAAGAGAGAAATTGCAAAGGTCAGTACCAATATAGGCTTGATTACTAGCCATGCGTGCTGGGGGGGTATTGTGTCTTTGATGTACAAGGAATGAAAATCACAAAAAGTGTTTAAAAGTGTAATGACAGCAATTGAGTCGCAAGGCATTATTTAGATTCTGTAAAGTCAACCTTGTACTCTGAAGACTTCAGTGGGGTAAAGTTCTGGATTGATGACATTCTATAGGTCTGTGTGAATAATCAAGAGTTATTAAAATGGACTTTAGTAGGATTTAGAAAGTTAATTTGTTGGTCCCTGTGAATTGCAGCTTTCCAGAACTCTTACTTTTTGGTGGCTGGTACACTTTCAGTAGGTTGAAACTTCTTTCAGTCAAGCTTAATCTGTAAAATGAAAAATAATGTCAATCTGTCTCCCAGATTTTTTGGTATCAATATTATTATTGTACACGTAAGTGTGTTATGTAACTACAGGAATGACGTCAAGTCTCATTTTGCTTTTTTTCCCATGATGGATGCATCATGCTTCATCCTGTCTAGGACTTCTTGTCGATGTTTTGGTTCAGCTTGTCATAAATGATTTGTATTTGCTCACCTTGGCATGAGTTGTACAAGCCAAAATGTCTTCAGTTATGTGTGTACAGTTGTATTGATTTTTTTATGGCTGTGTTTCTCACTGAGGTTGTTGTTTAAGAGATGCAGTAGTTACTTACAGAATGTCTTAAGAGGGGGGATTCTTTCTGAAGGTTGTTACAACAGACTACGTGTACATGTAGATATAAGTGGATGATGATGAGAATCTCACTGATTGTCAAACACTTTAAAAAAGTGTTTATAAAATATTTTGTTGTGTTTTGTTTAAAAGGCAGAGGCAGAGACCAATGATAACCTTCAGTTTCTGAGTACACTTCTGCCATGGTTTGAGAAGCTTCACTATGCCACCAAATCTGCTGACATGGTGTCTGTTTTCCCTCCCTTGATGCACACTCTTTTTCTTGTATGGGTGTATTCAAGGTTGGTATTTAATCAACTACACTATTTAGCTACAAAGAAATTTACTGTCGAAAGTAGACTCTTAACCAATGGTGACTGCATTGGATTCATCAACTGACCTGTACATGTATAAATTTCAGTTTAACTATTTACATAATACCTCAAGTCTCACAAGTCTCACATTTTGAGTGTTCGTGAAGAGGATTTAATTACAGATTTGAACGACTAGTTAATTTATACTAAAATGATTTTATTATTTGTTCTTGATTTCTATGCATGATAGTTGACTTGAGCTCTGCCCTTATCAACTAGCATGCAATGGAAATCTCAAGCTCACAATCTCTTTGTTAATTATTTTTTCTCTGTATAAAATTACATTGTTGTAAGAATGCGTACAAATAAAGGCTGTTGTTGTCATTGTTATTCTGGATCCACAGGTCTGGGTTTAGCCCTGGCCAGGATTGATGTTTCCCTGGCTAAGACCCTTAAATCTTACAGTATTTCTTTCCACCCACAAGTATACATGGTTACCTAACCAGTGTTGGCAACCTGCCGATACTCTGCAATGGACTAGCATACAAATTGGCATATGCATGTAAATTAAACTGCTTTGCAAAATTTTGAAACAATGCGTGACTATCAAACAGTACTAATAAGGACTTCATAATTTCCTCATTCCACTTGGCACTTTTTAAAACAGGTATTACCACGACAACAGAAACTTTACAAGATTGTTAACCATGCTATCAAATGAAGTTGTAGCCAGAGCAAGACAGTTGGTGGGAGAACATGTGCTGGAGAATTTGCTAGCGGTAGGCAATTTCTTTTAGTCTATGTACTTGTTATAAGCTAGTTAGTTTGAGCAAAAGTAAAAATCCTCTGGTGAAACTGTAACTGCCTGTGATGCTCTTGGGAGCAAAATAAGTGACCAATAGGAACGTGCACAGTAGCTGGATGCGCAGGGAAAGCGAGAGGACAGACGTTGAACCATGAAGAGCATTATACAAGCTGCAAGGTGTAGTTTAACTTTCCTGATCTTCCTATTGTCTGGAACACTTAAACTTGTACAAGTAAGGGTTTTCAGAAAGACTTTTGAATTGACTATATGTAGCTACTGGAAGAAGCAACTTGAAGAATCATGAAAAACTTTTTGCTTATATTCTAATGAAGATCTTTGTTAGTCAGTGTAACCAGTGTCAGATTCAAGCCACTGAAGGGAAGTCATTAATGAGAACCCTTTGAAAAGCATTTCATTACTGATTAATATGGTGTACCATTAACTTATGTGCTGTCTCACTTTCCAGTCTTACACCAGTTTGAAGGATGCTTTACGTGTGTGCGCAGCTTTCCGGGGTTGTTACCTGGACAAAAAGGACAGGGCCGATGAGACAAACCAACAAAGACTCTCAGAACAGTCAGGGACTAAGTGAGTGACTATAGAATTGATGCCTCTTACTCGGAAAAGAACAACAAAAAATTGTTCGTGAAAATGATACTTTTCCAGGAATACTTCTTGGAATGTGGCTGCAAGTTGCAAATCTTGTGGGACATATCTTCAATATCTGTTTTTACAATAACTGTCTAATTTCTCGCACGCTGATTGGCTCATTTTTATCATCAATAAGTGTACAATGTACAGATGGATAAAATTTTAATTTATGTAAGCTTTCAAGTTTAACTTTCAGCTGTCAAACTGCCAACTTTTTAACCAAATTTATTCCCAGCATTTGACCATTTTGGGGGATTGTTATTGTTAAAAACAAATTGAGGTCAGTTTTTTATGTGTCTGTCCTCTTATTGATGATAAATTTCGTCATAACATTGTCAAAGTTTACTGCAGAACCACTCGCCTGTGGCTCGTGGTTCCACAGCCACTTTGACAATGTTATGACACAATTTATCATCAATAAGAGCACAGATGCATAAAAAACTGACGTCAATTTGTTAAATGTTTGGCAGAATGTTTGGTAGTCATCATTTGTTTTGACCTCTTGTGACCAATCCAGTGACACACAGAGGTTTTGTTAAATGCTAGATGGTGCTGTCGCATGCTGGACAAAATCTTCCTTGTTCCCTCCATTGGCTTCTTTAGGCTGTCGTAATGGGTAAAGAGTGAAAATTACGTGTAACATAAACTGTCCTTGATGGTTTTTGGATTTTTTTGTCTTTGCAGTATGGACAGTGGAGGCATTGTATGGCACAGTAAATTATACAATGACAGCTTGACACCCAAGACTACTAAGATCTTTAACCATCGCAACAGTTTGTCGGAAAGCAGCAACGGTCTGGACACCACAGAGCTGTGGACTGACTCTCCATGGCCTGCAAGAAACAATGCCTGTTTCACGACACTGAACAGTTTCATGGAGCGGTGTAACGATGTACTGGAGCTTGTTCAGACCACGCAGCATTTTGAGATGTTGACATGCACTGCAGAAGTTGGTGGGGCTGGTGGCAACAGTTTGGACAGTCAAGTGAAGGAAATACATCTGAAATTTCTGGAGGCTGTGCGGTCATTTCAGCAGATGCCTCATGTAAGATCACTGCTTCTTTAGCCCTTTTGTTCCCTTGGGAATAGTCAATCTGTGTAGCAGTTGACTTGGCCTGCTTGTGATCCATGGTGACCTAATTGTTATTGGCCTGGACTAAGGCTTAGTGATCCGGTTGAAGCTCTTGCTGGCTTGTTTTGTTCTTGAGCAAAACACTTTTCTCTCACAATAATGCCTCTCCCTTCCCTGGCCACGTTTGTTCAAAGGATGCTACCTGCAAGATAAATTACTACTTGAACAAGCGTGGAAGAAAAAGTGTGCAGCACTTTAATCTTATTAAATATATATTTTTTTCCAGGATGTGCTGAATGCAAATGAAACTCAGGAGTTTGAAAGAGAATTTTTTGCTTTCCGTTCTGTGATAAGAGTAAGTTGAAGTTTTTCAATGGTATTAGTTTATGTGATGCCAACTTTATGTTCTGTCAAAGCAAATTGCCAGTGTGATATTATATTGTAGCTGAGAACATCTTATTTTTATGCTCCAGGAGTCAAAACTTTTGGTGTGTTTCTATCTTCAACCTGACGGTAATGGAACACTGTCCAAAAACATTTTTTGCCTAGATCAGCACGACAATAAACCTGGGAGTGTTAAGATTTGAGCAGCTGCAGAAGAAACAGCATTGTTAACTTTGTCAAGTCAGTTGTTGTAGATTAATAGTTTAGTGTTGCTTGTCAGGATTTAGAGCACAATCTGGCTGATGTTATGAGGCAAAGCTTCAAGCAGTGCTGGGACACAAGAGCCAAACTCAGGCTTCTGGAAGTATTTGAAGGAATTAGTGGACGAGAACTTGTTCAGGTGAGAATTATATAGAGTGAATCCGAGTTATACATTAGGGGTTTACAGTTTTAATAATCGTAATGTAACTTTAAGTTCCCTCTTGGTTATGTTCGTTACTCTCTCTCTATAATCTGGCTTATGCATTGCTGACCATGTGATGTAAAATCTATAGTCATCTCTTAAAAACAATGAGCATATTTCCAGAAGATCAAGAGCATAAAGCCTTGAAAACATTTTTTAATACCAGAATCTGGGTAACTTCTCGTTGCATTAGGTAGTTTAAATTATCGATGTACATGTACTAGGTGTTGGGCGTCATGACAGGCCAACGAAACTTCAACTCTTCAGCATTACATTTATTGGAATTAGCGGATGTGATTTCATAAAGGTGGTAGTGGGGTAGTACTGATCATGTTCCTTTCTTTGAATACCGCAGACCAGTTTGCGAGATACATTTACTGCTCTGGTGCATGGTTTCACCCAAGAGTTACTGGACATGAGGACGTTTTTTGAGTCACACATGGATTCACCTCCCTCTTATCCACACCTCCCGCCAGTTGCAAACAAGCTGCTTTGGTTGCGAGGGTTCAAAATACACATACAGGTAAACACTTAGTTGAAGTACTGCTCGTGCAGTAACCACATAGACATAACAGATGGCGTCGACAGCTTTGAACGGCACTCACAATTCCTACTCAACATACAAACGTTTTTGTATCAGTATTTGTCTAATTACATCCCAGCAGTCTATACAAAGGTTTGAAAATGAATGTCTTTCGCTAACAACCTTTGGCTCTTAGTTAGAATATATATGAAATGGAAACTTTAAAGGCTTATTGAGTAGCTGGGACCAGATAAAATGTGTCAGCAGAAGCTCGGGCAGAAGCTGTTACTGTAAGTCAGTATGCAGATGATGATAATTCCAACTGTTTATTTCATTGACTCTAGGAGCCCATGTCACGGTTGCATCGTGTGTCCCCAGCATCTCTCAAGGGTGATGATGGATGGCGCCTGAGAGATACGTATTCAGATCTCATTAAAGACATTGAAAGGTAAGAAATGTTTAACAGTTGTTGATATATAAGTACGTACCCCTGGGTATGATGCACGTGTTATGTGCTGGGTAGGTCTCGTTCTCCATGAATCATTTTGTTGTTTTCTTGTGTATAGATGGTCACTTTTGACGATCAATGGTTTCTTCTAATAATAAACATAGCTTCAAACCAAATTTGCGCATTAAATGTTAGAAAACGCAGGCATAGAAATAAGGGTTTTTTTTAATACAGGCCTTTTACTGCGTTTTCGTGAGAAATCTGTTTTTATCGTTGTGGTCTTTTCCTTAGGTGTGAAGCAGATACCATTCGCCACTGGCAAAGTACCATGGAGCCTGAACTCAGGGCCAGATTAAAACAGCCGCTACTGGTGAGGAGACAAAACTGTCGTTTACATGGCTGGTATTCAGTTAAAAAATATTTTTATTCTTACAGGGACTGTCAACCATTTCCTTCAGGGGTTCGCTTTTCTGTAGGTAACAGGCTTGGCAACTGTGAACAACTCCATCACTGAGTACTTAGATATTGACTATCAGTTGATCAAAGGGTGTCTCAAATTCTCTTGAATCAACTATATTTGAAACAGAAAGCTTCACCTTTCATTTAAAGATAGACAAAATACTCTGCGTACAATGTTGTGGAAATGTAAAGTCAAAGCTCTATATTCACAAACTTTCTAGAGGGTTGAAATTCCAGTTCCAGTGGCACTGTGATTTAGGAATACTGCTAACGATCTTTTATGGACTAACAATCTTATTTTCATGAAAAGGTGTTGAAATGAGGTTATACCCACGTTTACTTGATAACGTTATATAAATATTTTTATTACACTCGATGCAAGAAACGTTTACTGTTACCACGACTCCATTGCGTGAACGAGGCTGCACCATTGCCATAATGCTGCATATTATCTGTTCTTAACTTCAGATTGCAGAACCTCAGAGTGAAGGAACCAAACCCGCTTTGCATGTGAACTTTGACCCTGAGCTAATGCTTCTGCTAAGAGAGGTGCATTACCTGGGAGGGGAGCCATTCTTGGCCCGTCTTCCTGACCCGGCCCGTGTTCTGCTGAGATCAACAGATGACAGTCTTTTGAGGTCCACTGCAACAAGGCTTGACACGATTGTGTCTCGCTACAATTCTGTCATGACAAACATGAAGGAATTTGAGCAGCCTTTGTTTGAGAGGAAACTTGCCAAGATTGATGAGGTAGGGAAATAATGGCTATCAGTAACAATTTGTCTGAAAGCGTTCACAAGTTTAATGAATACCACTTAACGCTAGCGGACTAAAATTTGGCTAGAAGCTTGCAAAGAAAACAAAATTATGGGAATGGCTGGTATTACATGTGGGGTTGAAATTCAGAGATTGTCACTCCAGTCAATAAATGCCAATAACTATTGCTCATGATTTGTTTACTTCTCACTTTTAATACTTTAAGGTTGATGCCATTTTTCTTCCTAAATATCAGTTGTTAGGTCAAGGACTTCACGTGTACACATGGAAAACAGTTGAATCAGCGGATTTTGTTGAGCATGCGTCATACTTGGTGTGTGATGATCTCCATCGTAACCTGGGTGTGGTCCAAAGTAACTTCAGAGAAATCTGCAACGTTGCTGCATCATGGTCTGAGAATGGCCAGTTAGACGTCTTCAGTCCACGTGACTCCAGCAAGTCATTTTCAATGGACAAATTGCAGGAACAGCACAGGTCAGCCACAAAACCCAGACCTTTGGAAAATAAACATCGTTACCTCTATTTTATGCAGTTTCATGTATTTTTTATCCATATCTTCATTTATCCACTTTACACAAGTCTTCATTTCACGCCACATGTTAGATTGTGGCATTGAGCTTTAGCCTTGGAGATTTGCTGGACATATACCACGTATAAGGCTACTCCTTTTGCAATCTTGCTTACCACGATCTCATAACCAGACCACCCCAACGATACCTAGACCCGTTTTACTCCCGCTGGGAACACGGAATTTTCATTTTCTGAATATTTAACATGACGGCAGATCTTCATTTGTTTACGTATTTTTGTGTTTGTTCTTTTAGGATGATTCATGAGGCTCACAAGCATACAATAACAGTAGGGGGACATAGAATACATGCGTTGTTGCAATCTACGTTTGAGGTAAGGGCCATGAATTCAAGACCTCAAAGGGTGTGAGCAAAAGCACTGAAAAGCACAGAAAAAAACGTGCCTCACAAATAACTTTTTCTTTCTGACATCACAGGCAGTACAGATCAGCCGTGCCTCCCCTGCCTGGCAGAGTTACATCAAGTATGTCAGTGGAGTCGTGATGGAGGGATTAAAGGCATCTACGTGCACATCATTACGATCAATGTTGAACCAGATTGTCTTCTCCAACATGTCCCAGGCGAGTGTTCTTTGGGATTTGATTTTGTGATTCTGCTGTTATCTGCCATGGCAGGGAAAAAAGATGAGGATTTACAAAGTTCAGTTGTCTCGGAAAAAATCCTGTTTAATTCAAATTGGAACTACTTTCTTGGTCTCTTAATTTGCCCAAACGTGTATCGAAGACTGTTTCTTTTACTTTTGGTGGATGGGCCTAGCCTACAGAACAGGCGTAATTTTTTTTTTGCGTATTTTAGGCGAACAAAGGCGAAAGCGAGGCGAAAGCGAGGCGAGCGCGAGGGGAGGAGCGCGAAAATAATTTTTTCGCGCTCTTCCCCTCGCGCGCGACTCGCGCTTCGCGCTTGCCTCGCTTTCGCCTCTGTTCGCCCAACATACACAAAAAAATAACGCCTGTTCTGCAGACTAGGATGGGCCATGCTCAGAATTATTAGAAGGGGCTGAGTAAGATTGCTTTTTGGGTTGGGCGCAGGGAGCTCTACGTTTACGTTAAAAATGCTACGGTAGTGTTAGATTTGCTGTAAACGTGTTATGTGATATTGCAGGATGCTGAGGTGCACCCCATATTGACCATTCGTTTGGAGCTGACTGGTTCCCAAGTGCTGTTTAACCCATCACTTGACGATAAATCTGCCTCATCTAGTGTGCAAGAGAGTGTGGAGGGATGGCTGAACGATTTTCTGGGACGTGGAGACTCTGTGAGGCCTTTGGATGAGGACTTAAAGGTACAATGTGACTTACGTGGTCGTTTTCCCAGATTGATGACGTTAATTTTCATAGTATATAATATATGTGTCAAGTTCGAGATGAGGTGAAGAGGGGAGCCAGGACAATAAACAGAAACTGCCCTGTATAGTATTAGCTGTTATCAGCCTAATGACAGTATTTGGCATTTCTTTAGAGTTACAAGCAGGTCATTGCTGATGATAATGAGATACAAACACTGGTGAAGCAGACAAAAGACGTGGTAGAGCAAAATGCCTCTGAATGCAAGGTATGTAACTTATGTGGATACGCGAGAAAGCTGATCATGATCCGACTAGGGCCTTTCTGCTGGCCGTTTACTCCTGACTAGTGAGTAGCGGTGTTGTGACGTCTCCCAGATAGAATTGCATGTCCTCCCATGCAGCGTATTGGCCCTCATTAATGCAGATATCAAACCAGGCTGGAGATGCGAGACTAAATATCTAACATGATACTGACCATTTTACCGATGTGATATCAGACTCAGTTATTTTATATATCAGAACTGTGCCACAGTATCTTTATTCATCAAATTGATGACAATTACAAACATGATTACTTTGATTACAGAGTTTCCTAGCAACATTTCGTGAGTATGCATTTTTGTGGATGCAAGATGTACAGCGAACATTTGAAGAGTTTCTGGCGGGCAACATAGAGGCTCATCCAAGAAAGATGAACCGTTCTGAACTCATAAGATCAAGAGCGTCAATGACATCTGAAAAATCCAGGAAAGAGAAAGAACGAGATCCGAGGTAACGTATTTGGGGCTTGTGGATTTCTGTAGGAGTATGTGTTTGCTGGTGTTGTTTTTTGGCAGGAAAATCCTTATCCCGTATCCTCATTTTGCAAGCAACTTATGAATTTTGAAACTCGGGAAAATGTCTGATTTCTTGAAAGTGTGCGGAGCACTGTGGAGGCCAAGTGGCGAATCGTTTCGTCGTACCTCACACTGGGCCACAAAACAATTTCTTTCCTCATTTATATTCATTTGGTCAGAGCACTGGTGCTACATAACTTTCGTCAAGAAGAAACCAAATACTAGAATTACAAAATGTGAATCTGAAGAAAACACATTGAATACTTTTGAAACTATGCAATGTACAATATACAGTAAACTGTTGTTAGACAACAAAAACATGATTGAAGGGGCAGACGCTTTAGTTAATAGAAAATGATGTTTTAATTACACGTTTCATTAAACATGGCGTAGTAGTAGTGTATCATTTAAGATGCATGTATTGTTTACTTACAGGTCCAACCGTAGCTCAGCTGCTGCCTCAACTCTAAGCACCAGTGGCGCAATGGGCTTGTCAGAGAAGACATTCTTAAACCCTAAGAAAATGACAGCTTCTAAAGAGATCAGAGATGAAAAAGGACCATCCTTGGATGATTTTGACAAGGAAATTGAGATTTATCAGGTTTGTGCAATATGAACTAACTTCTTTACCATTGTCTACCCATAGGTAAAGTCTGCATACGANGCCCAAGAACACAACACAATGTCCCCGGGCAGGGCTCGAACCCGGACCGCTCGATCCGGAGACGAGCGCACTAACCATGAGGCCACCGCGCCTCCCGATTGTCTACCCATGGGGACTCATTTTTGAATTAACAGCACTATTGACAATGTCAGTAAAAGACTGCCAGACACCTCACCTGATTGGGATGTTTACCTGGTCCTCAACAGACTTACTGTGGAAAGTTTACTCGTAAGTTGCATCACTGTTGTGAGGTAATGGCACATAAGGTCACTTTGCGTTGTCCTGTGTTCTAAAAAAGACAACCAATGCGTTAGTTCAGTATTGCGGAACCTAAGGTACAAAGTTTTTTTAAAAAGTTTACCGTGCTTGTAATACTAGAACTTAACTTCGACATTTCTTGAAAAATAATTTAATAATGTTTGTTGGCTTTCTGTTTAGACGGCAAGAGATGAAATTTACAATCTACAGGACTGGTGTGATGTTGGCTGGATGAGAGTTAACATGAGACCCATCAAACAAGTGCTTGGTACCTATGCTAGCAAGTGGATGTTCGTTTACACCAAGTATCTTTCAGACCAGGTCTTGTCAATCTATCCATTCATCATTTGACATTTATCTATTAATTTATTTCTTTGCGAGTGATATATAGGAAATGTAAACGTTTCTCTATCTCTTTCTCTGCCTGTCAATGTTAAACAAATTGAAGTTCAGTGTTGGGATTTAGTGTATGAAATGTGACTGTACCAGACCATTTGCAGTATTTCTTAATCGTTTTTATTATGCTGTTTTCAGGTGTCCTCAACTTTAAATGACCTTGACTCCTTCTTGAAACGCATCGAACCTGGAATAGAGGCCATTACTGGAGAAGAACAAGACATTGCTTCGTTTATGAGGCTCANAACAAGTGCTTGGTACCTATGCTAGCAAGTGGATGTTCGTTTACACCAAGTATCTTTCAGACCAGGTCTTGTCAATCTATCCATTCATCGTTAAACATTTGTTTGGTTTCCTTGCAAGGGATAGGAAATGTGAACGTTTTTCTGTCTCATTCTCAGTCTGTCACTGTTTGGAAAATTTGAATTCAGAGTTAGGATTGAGCGTATGAAATGTGTCTTTACCAGTTCGATTTATTTATGAATTTGTTATTATTATTGATTCATTGATTGATTGATTTTTTTAGTTACATACACGTTCGTATTTTGATCGAGCTTAGCTCTTAGGCGCAACGTGTTTAAATAAAGTGTTGATTGATTGATTGATTGATTAATTGATGAATCTTTCATTATGCCGTGTTCAGGTGTCCACAACTTTAAATGACCTTGACTCGTTCTTAAAACGCATCGAACCTGGAATAGAGGCCATTACTGGAGAAGAACAAGACATTGCTTCGTTTATGAGGCTCATGAGAGTTTTTAACGAGGTGAGGTCGCTAAGTCAACAGCAACATATTAGTCAAGGGGACGACGGTCTCCCATACTATGACTTGTATAATCTCATCTACACAATCTTTTAATCCCTGCGGGAGGATTAAGGCAGGTATGTTTTTACATGCAAAGGATTTTGCATATGAAACAGATGCTCGAAGGATATGTTTCTCAATTAAAATCTTATGATCTGCTACAATTCTTTCAGGTTAGTACCCAGCAAGCTGAGATGGACAGCAAGTTTATAGCAATGAAGAGAACCATCGCTCTTTTAGAAAAATACGATCAGAAACTACCAGAGATGACTGAGAAATTCTACACTGCAGCACCACAAAGGTGTGTACTTTACATCCGTATATGCCGCAACAACCATGAAATGGTTTTGAAAGAGACTAATGATGAACTAATCTGTAGGATTTCAAACAAGTTTGAGTTTTCATTCTGAAGGGATTTTTTTTGTCTAAAAATGACATGTTTGCTCGTCAACACAGGTGGAATAACTTGAAAATGAAAGTGAATCAAGCTAAACAGCGCCTCGGACCCAGGATACAAGCTGAAGCTTCTAGTGTTACACAGGTACTTGGCTTGTTATGAGGGAGCATTGTCGTTACACAGGAGACGATATGGATGAAAATTCCAACTGTCTTTTGGAAACATGTTGATCATGCAAAGGGTTTGTGAATACAAACATCGGAACAAAACCATCCTTATTAGCACTTGTATTTAATACCTTCTGAAGTTTCTGAATGTGGTGAAATAAGGGTACGCAAATATGCCAACCAGAAATCAATTGGGAAATTTTTTTCTCTGTAAGACCGGCGGCCCCATCTCATACACACATCCCGAGTACCTCTTTACAGCAAAGTCTCACGTGTATATTTGCCTAAATTGGCTACCTGCATTGAACTTTCAAAATTGTTGAAACGCTTGGTCTTGCTTTTTTTGTATAGGAGCTTAAAGCATTTGGTGATCGTTGTGAATCTCTGGCTCGTGAGTTTGCTGATTCAGAGGCGTTCAACAGGAAGTGTGCTATTTACACTGCTTTCACCATCATGGATACTTTTGGTAGGAGACTTGAGAGTATGGAGAGTGAAGCCCAGGTAAGAATTACAGCAAAAAAAAAAAAAAAAAAAAAAAACTACTTTGTGTGTCGTGGTTGAGTTTATGTCAACCTCTGATTGGTCAATATTGTTGTACAGTTGTCGACTTAAACTGAATTGTATTTTCATTAGGACCTTATCGAGCTTCAAGAACTGTTCGAAAAGGCTGTTGTAAATTTCTCTGTCCTTCCACGGTAAGTTGAATTCTCCTTATCACAATTCCTTGTTCCTTAAATGATCTACGCCTTATCCAAATTCATATCTTTCACTGTTGCAGTCCATCTCTCTCTTGAAGATATACATATCCGTTTTTAGAGAAGAAACCTTTGAATCAAGATACCGTTCGAAAAATCTATTGAATTTTCAATATTCACGCTCGTCTTCCTCTCTTTCCCTAAAATTTTGCCAAGAAAGTATATTTCGTGAAAGCTTCAAGATGGTTCCGTTTTTGTTTAACCTTATCATTATATCAGTAGCTCAGTTGTTAGAAAACTGTTCTGCTATGTTATTATCTCGTGAAGAACAACTTAATTCTCTCCCTAGGCTACGCTCGGATCTTGAATGTTTACGTGAGGTCTGGAACACGTGGCGTGCAGTACAGGAACAACACACAGAATGGAAACGCGGCCGGTGGCAGCGAATCAACACCAAACTTATGAAGAAAGCTACTGAAGCACAGATTGATGTGGTCACAGCTCTGCCGTTGGAGTCACACGAGTGGGATGTGTTTGTTGGCATGCATCATGCTATCCTCGACATTCAGGTAAGTTAGATGGGAGGAGTCCGTCGATCGGTTTTGACAGCAGGGCAGAGTTTAAGAGCCTGTTTGAGGAACCTCAATCAATTTGGACTTAACTGTGCGATTTACTCGAAGCTCCGTGCCTTAGTCAGTTCAGCCGATCATTAGTTAATACCAAATATGAAATTTAATGCAACAAATCGCTCTTTTGTTAGACTATTTACTTGTATCCTACTAACATCCTTGGACATTATCTGTTCGTCGAAGGTCACAGCTCTCGGAAAACTGTTTGCTTCTCGGAACATATAATGTCCACGGGCAAATAACCGAACCTATTTTCTCAGCAAATGGAGGCTATTGTTTATATATCTGTCTCATAGGACAGCGGTATTTGTACCTCTTTTATTCCCAGGCTTGCCTTCCAATTATTGATGACCTGAGTCGCTCGGCGATGCGACCGCGCCACTGGAAACAGTTGGTTCGTGTAACTGGAGGAGCTGTGCAGATCAGTAATGAAGGCTTGACAAGAATGACCTTGGGACAGCTACTGGAGTTAGGACTACACAGTGAGTGACTTGATGACTCGCAACAAAACGTTTTTGGAAAACATGACAATAACATAAGTTATGGCTACTTTTATGTGTGAGAAGTTAATCGCGCGAAAATGGAGAAGGCAAATTTCGCCGGAACTTGGATTTCGCGATTTGGCCGAAGCATTGAAAGGGACTAAATTAAGCGACATTTTCCAGCAGCTGCTCTGCAGTAAGGAACGAGTAGTCTCAGATTTGGTGCTATAGATCTCATAGCTATACGTTTTTTTACCAGTCGATTTTTATGGAAACAGACGGTACTCCGTGAACGTATAGTTCACACACTAGCTTTTGTTCATAGTCTGCAAAGATGGAGCTGCTTCATTTGATTTGAGGTTTAAACTTGACAGTGTATGTAATGTATTTTTGCAGACCATGCTGAAGAGGTCCGGTCCATAATCCAAAGGGCTGCGAAAGATGTGGCCATTGAGAGCTCACTGAAGACTTATGAAGAAGTGTGGCTGAGTAAGATCTTTGAACTCAGGACGCACACCAGAATGAAGGGCCCTTCATCAGCCACTGCTCCAACTCAAGATGTAAATATGGCACATTTTAAAGACGTGATGGTTGTTAGTTAGACAGCTCATTATGTCAGATGAATGCCTGCGTCTTTGTCGGTTATGGTCTTCTAAAGACCGTAATTTTTTCGAGGGAAACTTCTTTACATTCGAATGAACACGTTGTGGTTTACGATCGTTTTTTTTGAATACTTAAAATACGCAAATACGGTAAGATGTCTCTTTTTCCGTTTGAAGACGTTTCCCTTTTCCCAGCTTATCATGCTAAGGTTGGGGGCCTATTTTTTTTAAAGAATGTCTTTCAGAAGGTGAAAATTATGTGAAAAATCAAGGACTCTCCGTTTCCATTTTCTAGACTTTTTCTTGTGAATTTGGAATTTGTGCTCAATACGAACACTTTCAAGCTTTTTTCGCTAGCAAGTATATTTTGAATATATATATATATTTTTAAATTATCTCTGATACTAGAGTAACTCAAATGAGAGAACATGCTCCTGATACTGGGTTCTTTCTCTCCCCAGACTCCTGGCAGTGAGTTTGGTAACGACTCAGAGATGAACATGCATGGTCCCCGCGGTCTGTCCAGTCGGGTGTCAGTGACAAGTCATGGCAGTGGCGGAGGCTTCAGCGTCAAAGATGGAGCTGGTGGCAGCCTCAAGACAAGGAAAGCTTCTGTGGCAGGCTCGACTACTTTCTCGCATTCGCTTATGAACCTTACTCAGGTAATATTTCTTCACTTTCTTGCAGATATTGCTTTTGCTTTAATTGTTGTTTATTATATCTCTCAGTTACTACGCACACTGTGATTGGTTATTTTAGCTCACCGTACTCTGTTGCACGGCCCGCTTAAATTTAAAGCTGTTTTTGGTGCCTAAAGGTTTCGCGATTTATCACCAAGTGTTCTTAACTTTTATAGCGAGTAAAAGTTAAAAATGTTTTTTACTTTAAATTGTGTATTAAAACGTGCTAATGACTTAACAACGATTTCAAATTGACTCGTTTTGCTTTCGACGTGCTTCAGAAATTTGAAGCCGTTTCGCATGAATAGAATCGTTCTCGAACCTGTCAGACACACAGTAGAGATATAATAAATATCTTACTAACCTCGTCTTCTCGGTCCGTACGGTAAGTTACGGATCCTCTTTTTTTTTCTCCGTCGATTTATTGAAGGGGAAAAAACTCGGTCCGCAACTTACAGTACAGAACTCGAGCTCGGTTAGTAAGAGTTATAGGGCGTGCAACTTTTCCACTGGAATAAAAAGACTGAACAGTTTACTCCTTGTGTAATGTTGTGTTTCAAAATGGTTGGCGCGGATGTCGATATGTTTTATATTTGGTTATGGGACAATGTGAGAATAAGCGAAAGTTATAAGCAACGTTTCGACATCTTGAAGATATCATTGCATTGCCAAGTTTCGAAATGCGAAGGCCTGAGTTTGTGCCTAAAGAACTATACCTAAATATGCATAAAACACAAGTTGGCAAGAAAAAATAATAAAGTGACAAGGAAAAGTGAGAATAATGGAGAAATAATAGTAATAAAACATAATAAAATACATAAAGAATATTTCCTGTTTAGGTTCAAAGGACAGTTACAAAAACAATACTTAGATAAACATTTTTGCCTCGATCGAGTCTGACCAAGTATTAAGAGTTGGTTTAAATTCCTTGAGACTAAGCATTTCATATACGAAGCAGTCTAGCTTTCTCTCGCAAAATGCTTATCAGTGAAAGGTTTCTGGCAAAAATTTGCTTTAAGCATTGGCTTTATCTGTTCTTTGTACACTCGAATTATTATTTGCTCTGCAGGATGCTGGTCCAATCTGTTTACTGGACAAATGTGAGCCAATCTTTGAAGAACTTGAGGATCATCAGGTAGGGGGTATTGTATTGTCAAATGAAAGAGGCAAATGAAAGTATCAAACGAGGAAAAGAGAAATATAGTTGAGTTTTTGTCAGATAACATTTCACTTTGCTTTACTTTTTGGGCGAATCTCTGCTACTCTGAAAATTTTCAGCGAGTTACTCCCCCCTCCCCCACCGCCCCTTGAGGACCATGTATTCTAAAATACACACTAATAAGCGAAACGAAGATGAAGTTCAGTTTTGAAACTTGCAGGTAGTGGACCCCACTTTTATTTATTTGCATTGAGCAGAAAACGTCCGCGCCTGTCGCGCAAACGGTGCTCAAACTATGTTACTACTTCTGTTCAGGTGTCGCTACAGAGCATGCTCAGTGGCAGTGCCGCTGGTTCATTTGCTGATGACATCATGAAATGGCAGAAGAGACTGCAGACCATAGAGGCTGTGTTGACGGTGTGGCTTGACGTACAGGAAAAGTGGATAGAGTTAGAAGATGTAAGTTGTTATGATCACTAAATATTTAAGATCGATAAAGGGTGTTCTGCGTCGATGTAGCATGGTGTCACTAAAGCATTGACTACGGAAGAATTGGGATTAGTGCAAGCTCTTTATGGCCACATATTAGGTGCATACAAGGCAGTTTTCTAGAATGAGGCCAAAATTTAGTTGTTAGTAGTTAAGCATCGTGTAAACCCATCAGATGTAAATGTCAAACTCCGGTCGTTTTGGGCAAAAAACATTAAAACAACACCCAACTTTACTAAATTCCTGCAAAGGTTGAAGTTGGAATCTAAGACTTGTTTCGCTTACCTCCATAAGTGAAAAATTGTCTGTTTTTGAGCTCTTTATTGCTGATTCGGTTTGGTACTGAACTAAAAGAGTATACAACATATCTGTGTGGTGATCATCAAGGTAGAAACTTCATTTCAACTTTTTCCTTCTTTGCCTTCTGTTTAGGTGTTTTCCAGCCTAGACCTTCGCATTGCCATGCCCCATGAAACGAACCTCTTTTCTGCTGTAAACCGGGACTTCAGAATCTTGATGAGAGCCACAGAAAAGAATCCAAACGTGTTGCAGGCTTGCTCAAGGATAAGTAGGTCTACGGTTAAAAGTTCGTAGATGTGTTGCCATCTATTGTTCATCGTTTTTTTTGGTCAGAGCTATTGTTGGGAGAAAGGCGTTCTTCTCTCAAACAGACGCATTTGCCGATGTAGAAAATGACTGGTTTAATCGGTGGAAATGCCAAGCAGAGGAAAATCAGTTCACAGTTGCCAACTGTGTCTGTCTGTTACCCCTTAATAATGCCGCGGGCGCACTTTTCCCTTTCGTTGCCACTTTCGCGACACTAAAAAGTACCTTTTTTTCTACTAAATTAAGGAAAAAGAAAAGTTATATGCCACCACCCAATATTGAACCTAGAACCTCTCGCATGATAACATCCCTCTCTTACCACTCCAACACCTGGTTGATCCTCGAAATCTCCGCAAAATTTAATTATAAAAGGTGTGCGTAGTAGTCTATCACCAAATTATAATCAGTTTCGACCTAGATCAGGCCCAAATTAGAGGAAGTATGGCTTCGTCCATTCCGAAAAGTATGGTAACCAATTATGGCATGGACCGCTAAAAATGGCATTGACCTTAACAAAAGGGAAATCAGCGTCGCCGGGACCGCCTCGCAGGAAATGCGAGTACAAGCTCAGAGAATATCATTTAAAATTAAATCCATTGTCACTTAATCTTTTTGCTTGACTCATTTTTCACAGACATCCAGGCCAAACTAGAGAAGCTGAACATGAATCTGCAACAGTGCTGGAAATCTCTTCTTAATCATTTGGAAAGACGACGACAGAAATTCCCACGCTTTTACTTCCTCTCCACGGAAGATGTACTTCATGTTGTATGCAATGGTGTGTCACTTGTTCTAGGTCGAATATATTCACCTTTCATTTGTAAGAAATTTCACCATTCTTAAGAGATGTAATTGTCTTTGTCGTTGTCTTTTAGGTTACGATCCAGCTCTCGTGAATCCTTATTTACCAAAAGTGCTGGAAAACCTTGGAGCCCTTGTTTACGAAGAGCTTGAAAACGAGGGACAAATTTATTTTAACATCACTTCTGTTGTCAGTTCACATGGGGAACAACTCATGCTTAAACAGGTAAACGATGTCGGTAATTGGTTTCTTTATCTTTTGTGTTTTGGCTGGCTTTTTGTATCGATATTCAATTTAACCTTCAGGTTATATTGTAGAATCGTGCACATAACATATATCTGGTTTATAGCTAAAGTTGTTTTGGAGTAAGTAGTCTGTAATTTGGAAGTTTTGGCTCCATCTTGGCGATGCTAGAAAGAGAGATAATTTAAGACCGAGAGAATATTTATTTTACAGTCTAATCCTGCTTTACAGATTCCCACAAAATCACGAAGAGAGGCACCTTGTTGCTGACACTTGTTTGTCTCGTAACTCGTATACTTTCGTCTTAATTAACGTGTTGATTGGCCCGATAATGTGGCGAATTTCGTTAGTCCCAACAGTGGCCTAATTTACGGGTTTAACTGTACCAAAATGCAGACCCTCACCCAAGGAGCACACTTTTTTTCTCCAATTATTGGTTAATACGTTCATTCCATTCTAGCCTGTACCGTGTGAAGGTCCAATTGATAACTGGTTGCCTGGCCTGATCAGTTCTCTGAAGCAAACCCTCTTAGATCAACTGACTTCTGTGCTTAGCCCCGCCCAGCCTGAAAGAACTTCGACTCCCTATGGTGAGGGTGGTGAGGGCGCGGCCGTTCCTGAAGAGCCCCCACGCACAGCTGGCAGCATGGGTAGGGTGGAGAAATCGTTCACACTGGACAACTGTTCTGAGGTGGTTTTGCTGGCCACTCAAATTGAACTTTGTAAGAAGATCGACAAATCGCTCAAGCAGGTACATCCTTCTAAAATATGTGATTAGTATTGGAGATTGCAAGTCGTTATGCTAAGAAGCTTAGGAACGCCGTTCCATTGACGGGTAGTGTGCTATGCGTAACTACGATGTAGCTAAGCTTAGATGGCTGGCGTCTGGGTTATCATGATTGATAATTTTATTTCAGGTGGCAAGTGGTGAGAACAAAGAAGCTCTAAAGGAAGTCTACGACAAGTTGACCGCCATATTGGAAGCCACAGCGATGATGTTGAAAGGTGCTGACAAGGAAAGCAAAGCACAAGGTGGCGATGATGGCTATGACAGTGGTGTGAACAGTGATGATGACACAGAGGAAGCTGCCATGAGGAGAATGAGCCGTAATACTAGTGCCAGTCAAGGGCGGCCTGGTACGGCCGCGGTGGCTGATGCTGAAGTGACGTCAAACATCTCAGGGGTGTCCCAGAAACCAAAGGAGCTTCCTGAACAAGAGGTCACTGAAGGACAGGGCACTAACAAGATGCTGTTGTTTCCAAGTCAGATTCAAAAGATCAGTAACATCATCGCAATGTTGTCACACGAGAGGAACTTGGTACAAAGGCTGATAGATCACCGTGAGGAATGGGAGGTGCTCAAGAACCCCATTGACAACTTTGATTGGCAGCGTCATGCGCGTTGCCGCTGGGAAGAAGAACAGCAGGCCTGCAAAGTAGACATCTTGGACATGGTGTTTGATTACGGATTTGAGTACCAGGGTACCGCATCCAGATTGGTTCTTAGTCCTCTGACGGATAAGTGCTATGTGGGGCTTGCACAAGCTGTCAAGAATAAAATGGTTGGCGTCTGTACCGGCGAGTTTGTAAGTAATGTATTTGATTACAAGTAAAATTTGTTGAAAAGTCAAATGGAGATTATATAAAGATTTATCCTGGTGACTAATTTCTTATTATAGGGAACTGGTAAGACAGAAACTGTGGCTGAACTAGCCAAAATCCTGGGCAACCCTTTGTATTCGTTCAATTGTTCCACGTCAACGAATCGAGAGACTTTAATAGACATCTTCAGAGGTCTTGCTTGTTCTGGTGAGTTTATTAGCCGTTATGTATCAGAAACATGTTACAAATTACAAAAAAAACATCGTCTGCCTTGCGCACTAAGCAAGAAATAAACTATATAAACTATATTTTGCAGAGATTGCTACGATGCCTCTTTCTATGAAAGCCTGGTGAAAGAAACTTATGTCATTTGTTGTCGAATAACATCTTGTGAGATTAACAGTCCTTTTACTAACCTGTTGCCTTCCTCTTAAGGTGCCTGGGTGTGCCTCAATAACATCTCGACTATCCCGTCTCCTGTTCTGTCAGTTCTAACACAGCTTGTAACAGTTGTTCTTGATGGTTTGAAAGCTAGCAAGACCACTGTCGTGTTACAAGATGATGAAATATCGTTGGCCCCTCAAGGTGCATGCTTTGGGACACTAGACCCCTCTGGCAGTCAACACAAGACAGCGTACGACCCGTCTGTTGGTTTCTTTCCGTCCTTCAAGTCATCTGCTTCATATCTTCCAGTGGATCTTTGGGAAATGTTCCGTCCTGTAGCACTCGTGGGTCCCGATTTGCAGGTGATTCTTCAAGTGTGGCTCTTAAGCCAGGGCTTCACGCAGGTTTCTTCTCTGGCATCCAAGATTGTTACCCTAAGAGGACTTTGTCTAAAGCTGCTTCCAAACTCGTCCAAATCTCTCTCTGGAGACCTTTCTTTGTGTCTGCTTAAATGCACCGGCTGGGGAGCCCATTCCCTTAAAAGAATGATTGAAGATGCAGGGTCCCACTTGGGCACGAGCTCTGTCGAGCTTCAGGTTTCGGCACCTGAGCAAAGAGGACCTTCGCGCGAGGAGAAAGATGTCCCAGAGCGCGCTGAATCTCCTACAGATGCTGTTGCTGCTGTGAATGCCCCACTTGAAGCACTCAGACAAGACGGTAAGAGCTGTTACCTAATAGCTTGAGCGTTGCGCATTTTTGCAGAGGAAATGGTCGGTACACTTCTGTTCAGATTATGATATTGTAAGAAAGCAGATAGAAATCTCGTTAACATCTAATTCTATCATATGCTTCTCGCACAGCTCTCCAAACTCAAGTAAATTTCTTTCCTAATTTCTGATAGTACGTGAAATAGTAATTGTGACGTGTTTGACCCGTAAAGCGTCACGGTTATTAAATTTTTATTTTTATGGACGATTGTTCTCACTGAGAATAGCATCTCTTTTAAGTTCTGTGTTTTTGATTCTATCAATTAAGACGGGCACCATACAGGGACTATAAGGGAAACTACTTCAGACGTACAATAGTTGTATGACATAGTTTTGTTTACTGGAGCAGCTCCTCAGTCAGACTGACTGATGTGTTGTTTGCTTTGAATTAAGTTACTGTCTTTATATATCTCATAATGTTTTTGTCCTGTTTCTTCGTGAATGAAGTTACTGTCTTTTTGATAAATCTCGTCATGTGCACGTCTTGTTTCTTCGTGAATGAAGTCACTGTCTTTTGAAATCTCATCATGTGCTTTATTGTTCTTGTAACGTAGAACACCTTGCACCAGTGGACAGTGAAGACGCACCCGATCCACGTGACGTGCTTAAAGTGGAAGAGCACGCTGTGGTACTAGCCTTAAGAGACACGTACATGCCGGGATTGGACAGCAGTGATGCTGTCATGTTCGCAACATTGTTGGCAGACCTGTTCCCTAATGTACAGGTGCCAATGATATTTGAAAGTTACGGTTCACAAGGTAACAAGATGCAGATGAATGATCAAGTGAGCAATTTGGACGAGATTCCTGTGCTTTCCAAGGCTCCTGGTGAGCCCAGTGGTGATAATGTGGAAGGTATGTAGAATGCCTAATGTAGCAGGCCGTTTACTTCAATTGCTAATGTGCATGGATTGCAACTGTGGGAATGCCAGGCTTGGAGAGAGTGTTATTGCATTAGCAGGAATGCCAGCTTGGAGGCTAATTAGTGACGGGGGGTGGCACTGTCAACTTGGAGGCTACTTGGTGACGAGGGGGGTGGGGCACTGTCTTTTGCTTTGTTTATGAATGCGTTAGGAACACAATTATAAACTAAGAAAAGACAGCTTGGTAAAGAAGGAAACGTTAGGAGAATAGGAATTACTCACAAAGAAGGGCGGCTGGAAAAGAAGCCTTGCCGTAATTTTTAAAATTTGTTATTGGCAGTCTTGCTAAATCTTTCTCATTTAAGCCAACCTCTTTCTTCTCGTTTTATTGTTTTGGTGGTTTTCTAACGTGGTAAACTTTCATTTCGATGAACTATTATTCGTTCGACTTGACGTGATCATAGTGACATATCCCCTGTGAGGTCGAGGAAGACTCCAGTTGACTACAAATTGACTACAGTTGACTCTCAAATTTGATTTAAAAGAAAAAAGGTCGTTTTGTTTTCTGCATTGGTTACTCAAGAAAAGTACGAAGATATCTTTAACTATAACTATACTATGCGAAAAGGTTTAAATAGAGAGGTTTTCTAATGACTGCCAAAAAATGAAACATTAGTCAGAATAATGGTAATAATAGTTGAAAAAAAATGGACAGGGTGACCATTTCAACTATTAAACTGTTCTCAATGTGGGCGCTCTTAGCATAACAATCGTTTCTGTTATTTCAGTGCTGAGTGATATGCAGTCAGCTATTAAAGTAGCCACAGGTAAACTTGGATTGCAGCCAGGTGCCGCCTTTCAAGCCAGAGTGGCTCAGCTGGCAGAACTTGTTAAAGCGCATAAGCTGGTGAGTTTTGTAAGAACCAAGAACGAGCACGCCAGTACATATATGTTATTGAACTAGCGTTCGGTCCTTATTGGAGAAATATTGGTTGGGTTCTTTTGCCGGTTTGCAGCCGTAGGCGAGGTCCATAAACTTGTAAAAAAGAATAAGACCAGTATTTCTCCACTACTGACCGAACAAGCTATTTCAATAAACTATTTATTATAATGGTTCTTTTTAATCTGATGATAAATTGATGCGTCGCCGCAATCCATTTTCGGTAAACACGCGCAGGAAAAGTAAGCATTTATTTACGTTTTTAACGTCGCTTTTGTCAACATTTAACTAAAATCGTCCTCCACGGTAAAAAAATGTCAACTTTACAAAACTGTTTTGTACAATGAACTTAAAAAGTAATTCGCCGAAAATAGGTCTTGTGCGGTGCATCTTAGCGGTCCGTATTTCAAAATTCCGACCTTATCTTCGCGGACCAGTTCAGTCATATAATAAAAAGTTTTAAGTCTAGATTCACGCGAACCACTTCTGTTTTGTTAGGTGTGTATTACTGGTCCTAGTGGATGTGGAAAGACCGAGTGCATCAGGACCCTGGGCGCGGCTCACAGAGAGATGGGACACCTGGTGAAGACAGACATAGTGTGTACAGAGGCAGTGGAGTCTGAGGAACTGCTGGGATATGTAGACCCTGATACCAGGTTTGTAACAAACACAAGGAGAAGTTATATGGACTTGTTTCCTTTCCACTTTGGCCCTCCGACAGCACATATGTAGTGTTCATCAATGGCAATATAGGACAGGTGTCTTGCATACTGCTAGGATCAACGCAACGGGAGGTCATGGGTTCGATTCCTGTCGGGAACTCAGATTTTTTCTTTGTCCCACGCTCGTGTCATATCGATTAATTCACCTTCACATTTCATTACCGAGCTTAAAATTCACCATCGTTATTAATTTATCACTACTCACGATGACTTCGATAGCGTTGATCCTAGCAGTATGCAGGACACCTGTCATATATGAACTCAGTTAAATGACCTCGCTTTCCATGAGTTCTCGTAGCTCAGTGGATAGAGCGCCCGCCCGGTGTTCAGGAGGTCATGTTTCGATTTCTGTCGGGGACTCAGAATTTTTCTTTGTCCCACGCTCGTGTCATGTTGATTAATTCACCTTCACATTTCATTACCGAGCTTAAAATTCACCATCTTTATTAATTTATAGAAATGACACTTTCTAATATTATCAGGACTTTTTTTTCTGTCTGTGACAAAGGCTTACTCGGAAAAGAATTCCAAGTTTTCTTGTACTACTTCAAATTCATGTTGAGATACACGTAGGACTGGGTCTGTGGTAACTGAATCCATGTATCGATTTTTTTCTTGGTAGGGTTAAGGCAGGGAGGGGGCACTGATCTTTGCCCAGAAGTTGTAAATTTGTGTAAAACATCCTTAAAAACCGAAGGTGTCTTGACGGATATTAAGAGATAGTGTCAGAGGTGTGTTGCCCATGAAGACAGTGACCAATTTCGAGCTCTCTAACTCCTGAGGCTCTTAGATTGAATTTACATGTAATGTCAGGGTTTTGGATTGTTTGTCTAGGGAGTGGCGTGACGGAGTGTTGACTGTGTTGTTACGACGACAAGCTCGGCAACTTCGTGTTCAGGAGACAGAAAGCAAGGTCACTGGAAAACCTTTGATGAAATGGCTTCACTTGGATGGCACGGTAAAGTTTACGGCGCGATAAACTCTTAAAACACATGTTCAGCTACCTCCCATTAAGGTCGGCACATACTAGGAGACATTTTTTTTGGGGGGGAGGGGGACATAACACAGGAACAAGCCCCGTCGAGTGTACGGATAGGACGCATGTTGCAGGGCCAGTGCGTAAGCTGGTGCGTGCACACGAAACGGATTGAGGCATAAAAATGTGTTCTAGCGAGGACAGTTTGCAAGAGCAGTGCACACGTTGCTGCATTGAAAATTGTGATCTTTACGCACGAATTGAAACCAGCTGAATTTCGTGTAACATGATGCAGGATAAAATTTTGTTTCCGAAACAAAATTTTTTCGCAAATCTGGGCATGCCGAGAAAAGCTGTCACTGCAACATGTCCCTAGCGTCTGCCGTCCTTTACGATTATCATGCGTACTTATCTACATGTCGCACTCTTATTCTCAGATTGATCCAATGCAAATGGAACTTTTCGGCTCTATTGTGCAGAACACAGGTGAGTGTTGACGAGAAACGATTTGTAAGGAAGAGGCAATTTACAGTTGTTTACAGCACAAACTATACATCTCCTTACACAACTTTTACAGCTTTTGGTCGCTTTATGACGATCCGACGGCAGATTTTTATTGGTTGGGTTGTAGACAGGAGGGTGGAAAATACAGTGGACGTTAATGCATTGAGTGGCTTAAGCTAGCAGAAAGTCGCTTGTCTTGAAGGAATGTACTGCTCGTTTGTGTCTTAATTTAAGACATTCACAGTACAAAAAGACAGACATCGGGATAAAATGTGTGTAGACTTATGTTTTTGCTGAGTCAAGCTTAATTTAGCTTACAAGTTTGCACTCAAGTGTTTTGCACTCCAAGTATCGTCAAGTAGATCATCTCCAGGTTAAGAGTAGAATCTAATTCTGTTCATGCCAGACAACTTTCTTAACATTTGCCATGTATTTTGTGTTATCTACAGGAACTGTGGTTCTCGGCAACAATGAAAGAATCAAAATTCCAGATGCCCTGCTTATCGTGTGGGAGGTAAGATGGTTTTTTTTCATTCTTTCGTGTCCATTCATTTAGAACAAGTCATTGTCGTGTAAATTATGTGACTTGACTTTAAGCTCCTCTTGGAGCAAAGGTCGTCCATAAAGCTGCGCAAGCGGACTCTGTTTGCTGCCGTTTTCTCTGCGGTGTTCTAGCTGATGTTTGGTATTTTAAGTTTTTCTTCAGTTGACCTTATCCAGGTGATAAACAGGCCTTCTCAACTTCCTTTTACACTGCGAATTCCATTTCAAGGCCTGCTTGTAGGTTAAGTACGAACGAGAAGCAACTTTCGTTTGTTATCTACATGATCTTTCGATTTTCTTTTCTAGTTGGAGATACTGGAAAATCTGAGTCCAGCAGTACTGTCCTCTGTGGGCATGCTCTGTATGAACACCTCAGATGTCAACTGGCCTCTTCTCGTTGATCGCTGGCTCGCCAAACGCCCCGAACGTGAAGTGGATGTGTTGCGAGAACTGTGCGATCGCTACATTGGTCCAACATTGGAGTATTTAGCTTCAAAAACATCAGTCCCACCTGTATCGGGAGCACCGCCGACACAGAACAAACCTTCGCAGTTACGTCACGTGGTACCTGTGACCGAAATGGGGATGGTGAACACTCTGCTTACTTTAGTAGAGGTATTCTTAGGATATTTATGCATTGTTACACCATGTTACCATTTTAGGACAAGAGTAGGCACAAAATGTGAGCCCGAATTGCACTGTAGAGTCGTACTTTGTTTTCGTCATTTGCGCACGTCTTGTGTAATTGGTACTATTTTGTAAAGATGCAAGACGTATCCAAAAACTAGAAGCCGAAGAAAACAACAAGATAGTGGATCGTTTTACGTATAATCAATAGGGCTAAGACCTTATCAAAGTTGAGGTTATCTGTTTTTATCCACTTAGACACTTACCGTTTTCTAGTCACATGCCGAGTGTGGATTAAGGGTTCCAGATAAGTTTTCTGTGCACGGTGTCAATAAAGAGTTTCAACTTGTCAATGTCCACTGCTCCCACCAAATCATTATAAATTTTCTCTTAATCTGTCGGGTCGTGTGGCAGACCTTGACGAGTTTTTGACGTCCTGAGACCCCTCGCTTATCTGAAACACTGGGATTAAAGATATTCTGAAGTCTTACCACATGATTATCTTTCGTTGTGTTCCAGGCAATCATTTCCAACTACCAGGACTTGATGCCACCAGAGTTTGAGAATTACTTCTGTTATTCTGCCATGTGGGCCTTTGGTGGTACACTGGTAGCGGAACATCGTCTGTGTTTCAGCCAGTGGTGGAGAGAGCAGTGGAATGACTATGTGATGCTACCAGGGGATGAAGAGGTCAGTAGTAAAGTAATTTTTAAGTCACATTTCAAACACGAAAGATCCTGTTTGAACTCATTTCCTGTCTTGAAATTGCAGCGCTCTTTTTTTTGTTTGAAAGCACTAAAAGCCCGCTTTTTATGTTGTAACAGGTGTGGAATTACTATGTGTTTCCTGAGACGCACGAGTTTCTAAGCTGGGCAGACTCAGTTCCTCCGTACTCCCAGACAGCGGCAGAAGGCATTCCTAATGAGGCATATGTTCACACCATACAGAATGAGGTCAGGACTTATTTTACTACGTGCGTCTATCTGGCTAGTCGCGTTGCGTCTTCACACTATACAGAACATGGTCAAAACTCCCACTCGTTACTTTTCACATTTGATAGCTTACTCAGCTTGTCGCATTTCGTGTTCACACTAGACGAAACATGGTCAAAACTCCTGCTCATTATACTACTCGCATCACATTATGTTAAGCTAGTTGCTGAATACGTTCACACCTTACAAGATGAGGTCAGAGCTGTACTACTATAACTCCTTGCATCGCATGTAGCTGCGTTTCTTTGTTGAGACTTTTTTGCCTCTTTCCTTCACTTGTATGAATATCTGGTTTGAAACGAGACTGAACGCATCAAAATGGTCACAATAGACCTTTTTCGATATACTAAAATTCAGCTTGGCAGCGAGGCCTAGAGGAAAATAGCAAAGGAAATAAACAAACACGCTCTTTCAATTTCTTTTGCTTGTGTCCTCTAGGCCTCGCAGCCAGCTGAATTTTAATTATCGAGAACAGTCTATTGGACAATAGCGGATTGTAAAATTGTCGCGATTTGATTTTTGTGCGGTTAATGATCGTCCAGTTTCCACAGGGCAAGACCAGGCTGGCTCTTTATCTATTTGCCAACCATTTAACAGTGGAATTATATTTTTCGTTTTGTCAACAGCGCATTTCTCACCTTGTTGGCTTGTTGAGCGATGGCGGGAAACCGGTTTTACTGGTTGGTGAAGCTGGTTGTGGCAAGACATCTATCTTACGTCATCGTCTTAAACAACATGGCGGCGACATTGGAGAGGTTCTAAGCTTGACAGTGTTCTGTAACAAGTTCACGACATCCAGAAGCCTGTGGAAAGAAATGTCATCTTGCCTAGAATGGAAACATGCTAGAACGTTTGTTCCAAAAGGAAATAAGAGGTTAACGTGTTTGGTGGATGACCTTAACCTCAGCAGAGTAAGTGTTGATATCGATCTGTGTCACCACTCAATAAACGAGAAGGAATTTGGGGCGAGTGTCATTTGGCCGTCGTTGGTGGGACCGTTGCTAGGGACCAAAAAGATGAGAAGCCATATTCTCCCCAGTAACGTTTCCACAAGCGACTGCGGGGTTCGTGTCGCCCTAGATGTCTTGTCGTTTCTAAAGTAGGGAGTTGCACAATCATGACAACTGCTATTATACCTGCATTTATTACAGTATTTTACGCTGTTCAGCGACCGCCATAAAACGATACCCTAGGTGATCGGGAAGCTTATCCACCAAGCACAAATAAAAACTAACCCTGTTTTTTATGAAGTCTGAAATAGAAGACAATTGCAGATTTGGTCTACGGAGAAAGATAGTAAAGATGTAAGGCGATCTTTCCTGATCCGCGAATTGAAGGGCTCACAAACGTTTGTAGCACTTTATTTTATATTTTTAGAAATTGTATTTAGCAGGGCCCCTCTGGATACCAGCCACTGTGCTGAATGGGCCACCCTGCATAAATAAAGTTTTACCTACCTACCTACCTTCATTGTCTAAGGACACAAAGTTTTCGTTTTGGTTTGCTAGATTATGTCGCATAGGTCTGGTAGTTCGCAATTTGAAGTCAAAGTTCTTGTTATTGACATACGATTGGTAATTAGCCAACCGAACTACCACATCTTTACTCAATTCCACCAGGATGCTCACCTCATTGCTAAGAGGTAAACTTACTTTTCTTGTCAGGCGAACAGGTTTGGTGCCCAGACCGCTCAGCAGCTGGTGCGCCAGCACATTGATCATGGCGGCGTGATCGATCCCGAAACCCATCAGTGGCGGGAAATACGTGACGTCACGTACCTGTCAGCATACAATCCACAAACTCCGCCCACCACCGCTCGACTGAATAGCAGACTGTTACGTCACTTTGCTCTGTTTAGCGTCACGTTTCCAAGGTAACGGGCACAGTTGCGAACTCTGAAATGTAGTTTAAAGTTTTAAGATGGTTTGTGATACTGCTCGGAAGGAGCTGTCATTATAGAAAATCGTTTTCGTCTTGAGCGATGGCTAGTCCTGAAAAGGACTGCTGTTGGTGATTTGTTTTCGGAGTCAAAATAAAACAATGCTTTGTGATGTGCAAAATTACTTCAAAGTCATAGAAGACATCAAAATAGTTTACACGGTAAAACATCGTCAAAGAGGTAATGATAAACCCAAAAAACAAAACGAAGATGGCCAAGAATTGCGAAGACTGAAAAGAATAACGCAGGGAAAGCTTAAAAATTTAGACTACAATTTGGTTAAATTCTGTAAGATACGTTGAAGGTTTGTTTTGGACTTCACAGTCTGGTGCTGTCAGCATTGGTGAACATCTACGGAAACACCAGACATGAGGTTTTAGTCCTGAGATTTACTTTTAAGGCTTCGTTATCTTTAACAACCTTTTCTTTTCCGGCAAGTTGATGACAGTATGTGATAAGTGATGAAAGATGGTAAATTCTCAACCAGTATTCAAGAGGTCATGGATTCCAATCCGGACGAGAACTCCGAGTTTTTCTTTTTTCTTTGTCCCACGCTCGTTTCAAATGAACATTTCATTTTTGTCGTGAACAAGGTTTTCTTTATTTCAGCCAAAGCGAACTGCACTATATCTACACTCAGCAACTGGAGAAACACTTTATAATCCATGTAACCCAGTCCCAGCACACCACCAGTGACTCATCCTCCCAGGAACCTACCGAGGGCCACTCTCAACACCAGGGGTCTGGAGACCACGACAAAGCCATGCGAGACATTCTGTCAGCAATCAGTCACGTGACTGTAGAACTCCAGGGTCATTTGAGAGGCATGTTCCTGCCTACGTCACAGAGGTGTCACTATATGTTCACTATGAGTGATTTGACCATGGTATTCAGGTAGGTTCTCCATATCACTGAATAATTTACGACCAGGAAAAAGTCTTCTCTGCGTTGTTGTAAGCCCGAGGAATACCATGAAATAGTCAAATAAATCAGCTTTAATGTCTGAAATGTTTTGTCCAAAATAACTTCGTTCTTTAGTACGTGACCGTGTTAATAAAAGCAGTGTTATCGCAAATGCTGAATTGAGCCCTCAAGTGCTTATCTATTTGAAGCACCTTTTAAGGGGGGGGGGTGGGGGGAAATAGAGGAGGGGTGGGGTAGCCCTATGAAGGTAAGGCAACTGCTAGCAGCTGGGTATTAGTTTATCACTGGGATCAATAAATTGCCTTATTCGAATCCATTCCTTTTTGAGTGCAAGTGTACCAATTACATTTCTTGCAAGTAACTTATTTGAATTTTCACGCCCTCTTTTACGGTAAAATAGTAGAGATATCGCGGTCTGTTTTGCAGTTTTTAGTTTTGAACAATTTTGTGCCCAAATAAAAGGATGGACTTCATTTGAGAGAGGTTCTTAATAGTTAATTTGCGATATTCGTCGTAAATTTTTGGGTACAAATGATTTGCGTGAACTCTTGCCTAAAGAACCTTTATTGTTGAAGTTAGTTCCTCATTCTTTCTTCCTTTGTCAAGGAATCTTTGCCTCACGCTTCGCCCGGGCTGTGCGCCGGAAGACCTTCTGTTGCTATGGAAACATGAATGTGACTGGGTGTACGGCCGTCGTTTGATTGACTCGGTTGACAGGGAGCGATTCCAACAGGCGTTCCTAACTGCTGCTAAGAAACGCTTCACTGAGGATGAAAAGGTATTAACGCAAGCGAAATCCAACATCTTGTATTTCACGGACAGTATGGCTCGCTTGTGCTCGCGCTCGTCTCAAAAGTATAAAGTAAACTACAGCTATATCGAATTAAAAACTAGCAGAAAGATCTCGCGTCTTACACTTGTTGTGTAGATGAACTCCTACGTTCTTTTAGTTTCGTCTATTCTTTCTTTCATTTGTTTGTATAGGTTCGAGTACGAGCCACTGTTTCGGGAAATGAGCGAGTGCTCACAGGAATGCGACCGAGAGCGCAGGAAACTCGCGCCTAGTTTTTGTATAGTTCATACTTTTGCTTAGTTCTTTATTCAGTCACAAAATCTATTATCTTTTTTATTGACAGCTGTCAGTAGTGACAGACCCCACCCCTTTCTTCACTAACCTGGTGGACTCTGAAGACACTGCTGGTGAGGTGATGGGGGCCGGTTCATCCGAGGGAACTGAAGATGATGTACATCTGCTGTTTAGACACATAACGGACATGAGAAAGGTGTGTTTTATTTGGATGAATAGTTTTTCATGTGATGTTTTTGCTGGCATATTCTATGACTTGAACAAACGTCTATTAGTTTCTTTTATTTGTGTCATTCCACATGACCATCTTCTCTTGAGATTGGTTACAAACCATCAGTATTCTGTGCGACAATGGAATAGGAAACTACGATAACTGCAGAAATTCTCGCGCGCTCATTGGCTAATTGTCATTGTCATTAAGCGGACAGACACATGAATTTACAATTTATGCGATGCGTCAACGAGCGAGAGCCGACAATTTGACAAATTTGGCTGTCGCCTCGTGGATTCACAGCTACTTTGACAATGTCATGACGAAACACATGCTCAATAACAGGACAGACGCATGAAAAACTGACGGCAATTCGTTAATTTGAATCCAAGAACGTATGTCGACATATCTTTCGAACCAAACAAACGGAAACAAAAACAAATGAGTGAAATATACTAGGAACAGGGCAGTCAAGCGTAATTCCAATTTTGGTTCAAAATTGTAAACATTTACGAAAGATATGTAGACCTGGCCTGACTAGTCCTACTGACTAGTCAGATGGCTAAAACGCGGTGAATAAGAAACGATATCCATTTTCTTTTTCGATTTTCATATCACGATCTCATGTAGACTCCACAAAGCAAAAACTAAAGTATCTGTCATAATATTACTCTTTAATTCATTTTGTGATAGCTAAACTTCTCATTGATACTGTTCAGGTCCAAGCTGTGTTGGAACATGGAGTCGAGGAATACAACAAAGATTTCCCAAGACTGAAGATCACACTCTATGAGGTTCAGTGCTTTTTTCCTTTCCTCTCTATAGCGGGCAATGCCCTTCATTCATTCATCATGGACACTTTCAATCAATCTTATGTCGCCGCTTTTTTGCTGGTTTCATACTGAAAAAGATCTCGCGGAAGCAGTTTCTCCTGTTTTGGGGGCTTATTCCTCATGTAAAAGAGGTCGTACTCTCTTATTGAAACTATGGTCCTGGCAATTGAACTCCTCCCTGTTAACCAAAAGCCACATATTTTATAGAAGTAACGGCAGATGCTACGGTTGCTGCATATGAAAAGTTTAACGTGTTTTTTAACGCCTTTTTAACGCCTTTTTAATTGGCAGGATGTGATGGAAACGATCTGTCGTCTTGTGCGAGTACTTCAGTGCCCCCATGAATGCGGCCACGCCCTGCTAATATCCCAGGGGTCTCCTGGAATGAGTACAAACTTGGCTCAGTTGGCAGCTCACCTGTGTGGTTACTCTGTGTTCAGGATCAACTCTTCAGCTCTGTCTGCTTCTGATAGATACACACTGGAGAGCTTCAAAGGTGACTTGGTGTCGGCCTACACCAGAGCAGGTGTTAAGGTGACAGAAAGTTTGTTAATTTGCCTTTCTCCTTCAATCCCTAGCGTCTATTTTCCTATTGTTCGAACATTTTTCAGACAGGTGTTTGACGAGAATAGAAAAAAGCAGGGTTTTGTTACCCTTGAAACTGTTTTATGTTTATGGGGGGCTGAAGCCAGGCTTCCGAAAGTTGTACTTCTATGCAAAACCCAAAACGATACAATTATGTGAAACACTTGACTTAAGCAACATGTGAACCGATCTTCAAATTCTCTGGTTGACCATACAACATTAACATACATGCTAGTTTGCTAAACAAACGTGCTCTCGAACAAACAGTTTCCTTTGTCTCGCGATCGAATCGTCTGCTTCGTATGTCTTGAAAGCCAGATGTTTGCAATGGCAGTAGTTCTGAATGAATGATCTTACTGTTGTTTAAACGAATTCGCTGTTATGACAGGGCGAACATTTGATGCTGTTACTACCGGAATCAGACCTAACCGACGAGGATTTTCTTGTTCATGTAAGCGAGTTCCTGGTGTCCTCCTCTATCTCGCACCTCTTCACCGAGGAAGAACAAACCTCAGTAATTAACGCGGTCAGAACAGAAGTCACGCAGGCTGGACTCGCCTATACACGAGATGTGGCTTGGGATTTCTTCCTCAAGTAAGTTCCAACTAGCCTTCTCTATTAAAAAATCTGTGTTTGCTTTGAGTTTTACGCGTTCCGAGCACCTAGCTGTCTTTAACAGAGTGCGCAAAGTGTTTCAATCAATCAAGCAAAAATTCTGAGTATATTGCACTTAAATTAACTCTTTCTCGCAATTAAAGATACTGGGTGCGGGGTTGGGGGG